TTGAGCCACAGGCGCTGAGCCAGGTGATTCAAACTTAAGTGATACAGCTGATATAGTTTGATTAATCTTTGTTCTAACTTTGGACTTGAATTGTAGATATGAAATGTGAATCAAAGTACTTAGATTTATTTTGTGAAAAATAATGGTGAATGTTTTGAGAGAATGATTTTCAAAGTAAATAATCCCTTATCTTTTAGGAGGAAGTTAACATCCCTAATAGGCGGGTTCTAGTTACTGGTGCCACTGGGCTTCTGGGCAGAGCTGTATTCAAGGAATTTCAGCAGAATAATTGGCATGCTGTTGGCTGTGGTTTTCGAAGAGCAAGACCAAAATTTGAACAAGTTAATCTATTGGATTCTAATGCGGTTCATCACATCGTTCATGATTTTCAGGTATGGTTTAGTATATTTTAACATATATATGAACTAACTTAAGAATTGTCTGGATGATAGAAAATTTACAGACTGTCATGGAAGTTACTGTACTCGAAAGCTCTAACATACTAAGCAGCAACAAAATATAGTATACTCTTTTTTTCCTTTTTTTTTTTAGCATAGCAAGGGATATGTAATTAATAAAAAGATTAGATTGAGACACAAGTTGAAAAAGATAGAAATATGAAACATTTTGTAAACTTATGTTATGGAGTGGCTTCCAAGTGATACTTTCTCTGTAAATGTGTTTTTGCTGGGTTTTTTTTTTTTTAAGCATTTTGATATGTGTGTGTGTGTATATATATATATATCCTACAGTTATTTTTCTTTTATTATTTCAAAATTTTACAGGGGTACAAATAGTTTTTGGTTACATAGATCACTTTTATAATTATTAAGTTAGCATTCTAAGTGTGCCCATCACCCAGATAGTGTTAGGTAGGTTTTTGCCCATCCCTTCCTATCCCCTTTTCCCTACTTCATTTCCCTGAATTTTCTTTTCTTCTTCTTCTTTTTTTTTTTTTTTTGGCTAGGGCTGGGTTTGAACCTGCCACCTCCAGCATATGGGTCTGGTGCCCTACCCTGTTGAGCCACAGGTGCCATCCTTTCCCTGAATTTTCTTTGGAGCCTCTATACGTATGTGTTCTCATCAGTTCCAGTTTAATAATGGTGTGTTTTTTAATTCTTTAGATACTTTACTATGGATAATGGTCTCTAGTTCTATCTAAATTGTTGAAAAAGGCATTAATTCCTCCTCTCTTACGATTGAGTATATACCATGGTATACATATGCCACATTGTGGTAATCCACCCTTGAATAGATGGGCACTTAGGTTGGATTCCACATTTGTAGTTGTTAATGGTGCTGCAATAAACATACAAGTGCAGGTGTCTTTTGATAAAAGTTTTGTACTGTTTTCCATAGAGGTTATACTGATATGTGGTCCCATTAACAGTGTGTAAGCATTCCTTTCTCTCTATATCTGCACCTGCATCTATTGTTTTTGGCCTGTATGATAAAAGCCTTTCTAACTGGGGTAAGCTGATATCTCATTGTGGTTTTAATTTGTATTTCCCCCGTGATTAGTGATGTTGAGAAATTTTTCATGTCTATTGGCCATTTGTCTATCTTTTATAAAGTTGCTGTTCGTGTCTCTTGCCCACTTTTTTTTTTTTTTTTTTTTAAAGAGAGACAGAGTTTCACTTTGTCACCCTCGGTAGAGTACTGTGGCATCATGGCTTACAGCAACCTGTAGCTCTTGGGCTTAGGTGATTCTCTTGACTACAGGCATCCGCCGCAAGGGCCAGGTTTGAACCCACCACCCTGGGTATATGGGGCCCACACCCTACTCATTAAGCCACAGGCCTTGCCCTCTTGCACACCTTTTAATGATTTTTTTTTCTTGCTGATTTGCTTGAGTTCTTTATGGATTCTGGTTATTAGCTCTTTACCAGATACATAGCTTGTGAATATTTTCTTCCATTCTGTAGGTTGTCTCTGCTCAGCAGTGTAGAAGCTTTTAATATAATCAAGTCCTTTTAATTTTTGTTGTTACATATTTGCTGTTGAGATTGTCTTTATAAAAAAATTTGCCTAGGCTGATTATCTAGAAGAGTTTTTCCTACATTTTCTTTCAGCATTCTCATGGTTTCATGCCTTACATTTAAGTCTTTTATCCATCTTAAATTAATTTTGTGAGTGGGAAGAGATGTGGATCCTATTTAATTCTTCTATATGTGGCTATCTTATTATTTTCCCAGCACCACTTACTAAGTCTTCTTTTCCCCAGTACATGTTATTGTCTACTTTGTCATGATCAGTTGGCTGTTTGTGAATGGTTTTATATGTGGGTTCTCTGTTCCATTGGTCTGTGTCTCTATTTTTGTGCCAGTACTATGCTGTTTTAGTTATTATAGCCTTGCAGTGTAGTTTGAAGTCTGGTAATGGATACCTCTAGATTAGCTCTTTTTCTTAAGATTGCTTTGGCTATTTGGGCTCTTTTTTTTTTCTTCCAAACAAAACATAGAATTATTTTTCTAGATCTGTGAAATATAATGTTGGTACTTCAATGGGGATTGCATCGATTCTGTCAGTCACTGTGGGAAGTATGGAAGTTTTAACATGATAGCATAGTAGTTTTAACATGAGTATAATATATTTTTCCATTTGTTTGTGTCATCTGTGATTTCTTCCCCCAGTGTCTTGGAGTTCTCTTTGCAGAGATCTTTCACCTCCTTGTTAAGTATATTCCTATGTGTTTTATTTTTTTTGTGGATATTGTGGATGATACTCAGTCTTTGATTTGACTCCTGACTTTACTGTTATTGGTGTAGAGGAGTGCTCCTGATCTATGTACATTGATTTTGTGACCTGAGACTTCACTGGATTTTTTTTTTTTAAATCCATTTCAGAAGTCTTTTGGTGGAGTTTTTGGCATTTTCTAGTTGTAAGGTCATGTTGTCTGCAAAAAGCAATAGTTTGACCTTCTCTTTTCCAATTTGGACAGCCTTTCTCTTGCCTGATTGCCCTGGCAAGTCTTCTAGCACTACGTTGAATAGAAGTGGTGGCTGCGGGAACCCTTGACTTACTCCATTTCTTAGTGGGAATGCTTTTAATTTGCTCCCATTCAGTATGATGTTGGCTGTGGGTTTATCATATATGGCTTTTGATAATTTGAGATCTGTCCCTTCTATTCCTAGTTTGTTGATAAATGCTTTTTGAATGTTGCTCTGTAAGTTTTACAGCACTGCAGAGTAGATATTTCCATTTTAGAGCTGAGAAAACAGGCGTAGAGAGGTTAGATAGTTGTTGATCATTGTCACTGAAAAGTTTCAGAAAAACTTAGGTTTTGTTCACTTCTAGAGTTGAGGTTCTTTCTGAAAGTAGTCTCAGGTTGGGCGTGGTGGTCACGCCTGTAATCCTAGCACTCTGGGAGGCTGAGACAGGTGGATTGCTTAAGCTCAGGAGTTCGAGACCAGCCTGAGGAAGAATGAGACTCCATCTCTACTGAAAATAGAAAAACTAGCTGAGTGTTATGGCAGGCACCTATAGTTCCAGTTACTTGGGAGGCTGAGGCAGAGGATCTCTTGAACCCAGGAGTTTGAGCAACAGAGTGAGACTTTGTCTCAAAAAAAAAAAAAATAGTCTTAGGAGCACTTACATCAAAATCACTTAAACTTGTTTTCAGGCTTTACTTCCCGAAATTTTAATTCAGTAAGTCTGTGGTGGGGCCCAGGATGCTACATTTAAGGAAGTACTCCAGAGTTATGCATATTCAGGTTTGAATTCATAGACAATGCTTCCTTACATAACTATTGAAAAGAAGAAAGCTTGGTATGTACACTAATTGCTGTCAGTAATCCCAAATCTTTGCTCTGGCCTGACATCCTCTGGGAACCAGATGGTCTGTCTTTTCCGTTAGATTATGAAATCCTTTCTCCTTCTACGGTGCCTGTCCTACGTGGCATAATAAATATTCAACTGGGAATATAATTTTTGTGGATTGTTGATATATTTTTTTCAGTGATTGGTCAAGGAGATGCTCTCATTTTGATATGGATTGTAAAATGTTTAGGTCATATTAATCGCATAAATGGTAGCTCTTTTCTCCCATCCATATTGGAGGATGGAGCTTATTTTGATTTAGAAAGACAGTTGTTGACACAGGTTTTTTTTTCTGGTTTTATCTAGGGATTACTAAATTATTCTTTCAGTGTCTATATGTGTTTTAAGGCAATTTGAACTTTGGGGGGAAAAGGGAAGCATGACAAAACTACATTTAAAAATTTAAATTTAGTCAAAGGAATATTTATTCAACACACTTTTCTCTGAATTAACTTACTCTAGGAAAGGTGTAATTTCTGTTTCATTCCATTTTTTGTTAAAAATGTATCAATGCTTAACTTCTAGCCCCATGTCATAGTACATTGTGCAGCAGAGAGAAGACCAGATGTTGTAGAAAATCAGCCAGATGCTGCTTCTCAACTTAATGTGGATGCTTCTGGGAATTTAGCTAAGGAAGCAGGTAATGATGACTTTATAAAATCTTCATTAATATTTTATGAATGAGTAAAGATTAAAGTTTTGAAGAACAATTATAAGTGATTTGATTTTATATATTATGAATAATCCATTTGAAATTCCACTAAAGAGCAATGCCATATAAAGATTTAATAGACTTGTCCCTTTTTTTGTAGCTGCAGTTGGAGCATTTCTCATCTACATTAGCTCAGATTATGTATTTGATGGAACAAATCCACCTTATAGGGAGGAAGACATACCAAGTCCTCTAAATTTGTATGGCAAAACAAAATTGGAAGGAGAAAAAGCTGTCCTGGAGAACAATTTAGG